AATTATATACACTCATCACGCTGTGTTTTGGTTAACATTCTGTTAATTATGTACAGGTTAATTAGTAGCAATTTATTTAGTAAATAACTGATAAAATATATTTAAGTTTGAAAATGAACAGATGAAAATTACTCTCAATTATGACAATGACAACAACAAGGGTATCTTACACCACCTGTTCATTATTACTATTTGCAAGGTAAAAGTGGTTTATACATGGAATTCTTGTGGGTGCTTGGGACCAAATTTATTGATGATCAAGATTTTTGATCTGCTCTGTATGTTATACACATGTTAAGTATAAACAAGCAGCCTCTCGGCTGAGATAGCTCTGCTGTTAGCAATGCACATTACAATTAAAGAACAGAAGATATCATTAGAAAATGAACAATATGTATAGTATCAAAGCAATCAGACTTGCGGTTTTCAACAATATTGGAAAATATCACTTTTTACCAAAAATGACAAAAATATTCACCAAAATTAGAGAATTGAAGATATCATCATGAAATGAACAAATCTGAGTTAGAACCTATAGTACCTATATATGTAATATTAAAATAATCAGACCTGATGTTTTTTACAAGAAGTCGAAAATATCACTTTTTACCAAAAATGACTAAAATATTCACCAAAAATAGAGAATTTGAGATTTTGACATGAACAAATCTGAGAGAGAACCATCCAAGGTACTTGGCATATCAAATTTGAAAACATTCTGACTTGCGGTTTCAAAGAAGTTGAAATTGTAAAGTTGACGCCGATGGCGCTGACGTCGGACGATGGCGACGGCGACGGACAATCAGTAATATGTCGACAGTGGAGCTAAAAACCAAAAGAAACAGAATCATCTCAGACAGAGATAATCAGCGCAATGAAATATGACGCTTATTTTTTTTATTAATCAAAATCTGAATTTGAATCTTCTTCATCTGATACTGGATCCAGAACTCTGTTCATTTTTTCTAATGCATTATTCAGTATAGTCGCTGTATCATCATTTATGCCAGATGCTAGATTAGAGGAGGCGGACGTAACATCGTCGTTTCCACTCCACGTCTTTCTCAATTTGACGCCACCACGGATTAAGACCAACATATCATTCATTGGGTTTGAGGGACCTAGAAAAGATATAAATTGGACTAAATAAACACAAAGCAAATCCAAAATTATTACACAAATCATTTAATGCACAACCGTATGATATAATTTATTTTAGCTATATATACATTGATTTAAAGAAGGTCTGAATTGAAGAATGTATGTTATGTTTGTCACGCTTTCATTGTTCATGGTGACAAGATACAAAATAGCAAAAAAATTAGGGTCACCAGAAAATTATTGAGAAATGAGCGTCTGAATTGTCATAAAAAATGGTTAAATTTTCCATTTTTACACTGGTTAACATGCTGAGATTATTTCTTCATATCATAAAATTATGCTTTGCAGCATGGGATGAAATATTTATATAATGTTATTGATATGAATCCTATAATATTGTGAAAAATATTGGCATACAATTTAGTGAGTTTTCAGGGTGTAAAAATTTTCATTATGTACAATGGAAAATGATCTCCCATAATGCATTGCATATACAGTACAGTATAACTTAATTTCCCCTTGGCTATCAGCTGCATTTGCCTTTTTATATAAATTTATACTTTTTAAAGTGAGTATCATTGTCACCAATTACTCTGCAGATATATGGTGGTTTTGAAAACTAAGCTTGCTAACAGTAACATGACAAAACTTAAACTTGACTTGAACTGTCTTTATATGTGCCTATATAGTAAATATGATAATTATAAATAGTTATGAATTGCTATGAGCACAATTGCCAGAGTCAATATGAATAATTTACAATAAAATGAAGTAGATAAGAACCATGTTACCATCAGTCATTTATAACACTTATCACAAGAAACTTGTACTAAGTTTTTAGGTAACTTGATATTAAATATTTACATTGCGGACATAAACCACATTCTTTAATATATTATTTGCAGGATTCAGTGTTGTATCTTTGTCTGGAAACATCAACAGTTTCTTTAGACTTGTTTGTATCAACATGACTTAGCAGTTAACTGTTTAAATTGAAATACAATCTGGGAAAAAGTTGCAAAATGTCTCTCAATATATGGGATGGTGACCCTGCATGTCATGAACCAACAAGGGATGGTGACCCTTCATGTCATGAACCAACAAGGGATGGTGACCCTGCATGTCATGAACCAACAAGGGATGGTGACCCTGCATGTCATGAACCAACAAGGGATGGCGACCCTGCATGTCATGAACCAACAAGGGATGGCGACCCTGCATGTCATGAACCAACAAGGGATGGCGACCCTTCATGTCATGAACCAACAAGGGATGATGACCCTGCATGTCATGA